TAATATAATGTAATAACGTAAACCCATGGTGCTCCCACACCTTGAATACTGGGTGCAGTTCTGGTTGCTCCTCTCAAAAAGGGTATTTTGGAATTGGAAAAAGTACAGAGAAGGGCAACAAAAGTGCGGAGGGGTGTGGAACAGCTTCCATATGAGGAGAGCTTAAAAAGACTGGGACTTTTCAGCTTGGAAAAGAGATGACTAAGGGGGGAGGGGAGGGTGTATGATGGAGGTTTAGAAAATTGTGAATGGTGCGGAGATGGTGAATAAGGAAATGTTATTTACTTCTTCACATAACACAAGAACCTGGGATCACCCAAAGAAATTAATAAGCAGCGGCTTTCAAACAAATATAAGCATACTGTTAACCTGTGGAACTTGCTGCCAGGAGATGTTGTGAAGGCCAAAAGTATATCTGGGTTCAGAAAAGAATTAGATAAGTTCATGCAGGATAGGTCCATCAGTGGCCGTTAGCCAAGATGGTCAGTGACACAGCCCCATGCTCTGGGTGTCCCTAAACCTCTGATTGCCAGAAGCTGGGACTGGATGGCAGGGGATGGATCATTTGATGATTACTCTATTCTGTTCGTTCCCTCTGAAGCATCTGACGCTGGCTATTGTCGGAAGACAGGATACTGGGCTAGATGACCATTGGTCTGACCCAGGACATATCGAAACTACCACTTATGTCGACAAAACTTATGTCGCTCAGGGGTGTGGGTCATTCTGTTTACCCTTTTTAAATATTGGCACATCATTAGCTTTCTTGGAACTTCCCTAGTGTTCCAAGAGTTTTTGAAAAATCAGCATGAATGGTCTAGCATGCGTCTTTACCAGCTCTTTTCAAACTTTTGGATTCAAGTTCTCTGGAGTTGCTGATTTAAAAATATCTAACTTTAGCAGCTGCTGTTCAATGTCCTCCTTAGTGATTGTTGGAATGGAAAGAGTGTTATCATATGAGATGAATATGCCATCTGGCTTCTTCCCAAGTAACAAACAAATATTTATTAACACTTCTGCCTTTTGTACACTATTATTGATAATTCTACCATTTCTGTCTAGTAAAGGACAAAAACCATTGTTAGTATTCCTTTTGTTCCTAATATACTTTTAAAAATGTCTTCCTTGTGTCCTTTTGCTTCCCTTATCAATTTTCTACAGTTCCTAGCTTCTGATTTATATTCATAGCTATCAGCTTACCCTTTCTTCCATGTATTATTTTGTGACGGAGCAGGGAGCAGGGCAGATTTGACCTGGGAATGTTGCAGGGGGGTTGCAGTGGCGATGTGGGACTTCCCTTGAAGGAAGCTACCTGAGCTGTAACCTGAGCCAGGAACGGGGGTGGGGAGAATTAACACCTTCTGCCCGGGAGACTGAACAAAGGAGAGGAGCAGCGGGAGGGGTTTGGGAGTTTAGTTTCGGTTGGGGCTGGGTGGTGCAACGCAGGGAACCCCAAGCTGGGGTCTAAGCTCCCTGAACCTCCCAGAGGGACCTAATTGAGGGGGGTCTGGTCGTACCTACACGCTCTGCTTGAGACTGTGTTCCTGTCCTTAAATAAACCTTCTGCTTTACTGGCTGGCTGAGAGTCGCAGTGAATCTCGGGAAGAGGGGTGCAGGGCCCTAACTCCCCCACAATCCGCAACA